TAGCTGACGATCAATAAAATGCAGCTCATATCTGTTGTTTTTGGTGGCGTGCAATCCATTAAATCTGCATATAACGCAGGAGGTGAAGATCGGATTTATATCCGTTTTGCAAAAACACATTTATGTGGCCAGGTGTAAATGGAATCGGTACTTATAGACCCTTTTACAGTTGGTAAACATGGTGACGTTTTTTTGTGGGCGGAGCTTAGGTGGAGGCAGAAAGATCCATCTGGCCACTTCACTAATGCGAGTTAGCAAGGATTGTTAGCTTGTTTTTTAACAATGACTGGAGAAAATCCGATATTATCTTAATGTGTAAGGTCACTCAGTGTCCAGGACCGCGATTGTTATTTCCAAAAGTTATTTTTAACGGACAGAACCAGATTGGCCGACCTGTAGCCGCCTACACGCTCACTCAATGCATGGATGATCTGACAGGATTAACGTACGTTACCTCGGGTGAGTGGCCTGACTTCTACACCTACCTTATAGAGAAACCGATCGTAAAGAGAAACTGAGGCATATAAATCTTTAGATGCCTATATGGTCCTGTACAAGACTTGTGTGTACGATCCGCAGTTCTGCCGAGCCAGCGCCGAGACCACGACAATGTAAAGAGTGACATTACAGTGCGATTTTAATGATGTGAATATTTTCTAGAAATAAAAGTTCCAGACACAGCATATTCATTTTTCATCAATTCTTGCACCAAACAACACAACAAGATGACATTTAATAATAGTAACAATTATTTAAGCTCCTTATTATGTAGCCGAATCTGTGCTGTTTTGCATTGACCGCCTCCAGTTTTCACTTTGTTTTGCCTCCAGCTAGCGCCGTGACGTAACAGTGACGTCGGCGCAAAAGGGGTCTATTATCCGGATAACTTATCTGGATACAGATCGCATTTTAATACCAGGTGTAAATGGGGTCTAAGAAGCAAATGTTGATGATCCCAACCTGCAATATTGTCACATGTATGTCTTTTCTGGCTATATAGGTTGCCACCCTGGATATCCAAAAAAGCAAAAAAAAAGGACATTTACATAGGCAGTCTGTTTTTCTCCTTTAGTTTTTCGATTTGATAGATCTCCTCCATTTTTCATAACTGGCTATATAAATTATTGTTAAGCACATTACTGCTTGTTTCCAACGTAAATTGTTGCACATTAAATATATAAATATTTTAATTAAATAATACATTTTAAGATACAATTTGTTCAAAAATATGCATTAATTAAAAATCACATCATGTAATTAGGATTCACTGGTAGTGTGAGGTTTAACATACATTTTTAAACTAACTACTACACACATATAGCCTACATGATACACCAACACACAATTAGAAAGATCTTTCTTGGTGAAGAGCATGCAGCATTATGGAAGCCCACATTAACTGGCAGATATTAGTCTCTCCAGGTTTCTGTTAAGTTGAAAAAATAAAAAAAAATGTCATACTTAATAATTAATTAACTATACTATTATTAACTATTATTATTATTACTGGTGAGGGAATGTGTTTCATCTCGAGTGTGACAATCTGAACAAAATAACGACAAATATTCATGGCTCAAATGTGGTGAACTGGACCGGTGGGATCATGATATACAGGAGGTGAAACCTGGATTTGATGGCCCCAAGTCTGGAAATTCCACGAATGCTCCCACTCTACGAGCAGAACAAGACACGCTCTCTAAAGGTAGATCTGAGACCCTAAACACTGTCCATATCTATAGCCCCAAATTTCCTGAGGGAGCAGTTTTTACTCCGCCCACAGCAAACAACAAAGTCTACTCAAACCAAGAGTATCTTGTCTTGCTAATTGTCCGAGTGGTGGGAAGGAGTGGATCAAAGCAACTTGTTGAAGGGTTTGCTGGCTTTGTATCAGCCAGTGGTTACAAGCCCCCTCGAAGATCTACCATCGACTACTTTACCCCAATCAACCAACCTTTTACAGAGTACTCAGTCATAAAGCAGCTGCTAAAACAGTCTGAGGAGGCCCCCATGGAGGTGGGTCAGGAGTACGTCCACAACACCTTTGACCTCGGTGGTTGCATGAAGGCTCTGCCTCTCATTTGGAAATTTCCATTGCTCCTTGGTTGACAAAGAGCACGTCCACAGCCTCGCATCTGGTGCCCCTGCTTCCTCGGAGGTGGAGTTTGATGTCCAACGTGCGGAGGCAGCTGGTATGGAGTCCAAGGAAGCTTTCATCAAAGATCGCTTTGTGAGTGGCTCTTCTGAGGAGCTGTTTTTCCAGCCAATCAAGAAGCTGAAGCTGAAGAATATGGATGCCTCAGACGAAACAGTCAAGCTCACTGGCTCCCAAGGAAAAGTATGAGGTATATGAGAAAGGTATACTCGTATATAAAATGAATAATTGTTGTCATATTAGTTGACATACATTCAATTCATTTCACGTTTATTTGTATAATGCTTCTCACAATACACATTATTTCAAAGCAGCTTTATAGACCAACGCCACTTTTGCGTCATCGAAGGGTAACGCCCCCTTTTGGGGGAAAACACCTCTATACTGTCTATGGGAAAACAAACGGATTCCCATGAGAACAGAACTCGCACTAGATCTGCAAAGTTTCTTGATAGCAAAAATGGCACAAACTTAAAGAAGCTAACGTTACTGAATACGGGGTTACAGAGGTGTCCCTTTGAAATGGTCGAAAACTGGATTAATGACCCCACACAGCGGCCAAATATGGACTATTCAGACATCTAACGATACCACTATCTCGTGGAATCACCAAGTAAGTAGCCTTTTTTATTTATTTATCATTTACACACTCACAGTAGCCTATTACAAACTACTAGACGATGAGGCCATGTCACTTGGATCATATTTAACTTGATTTAAGCTATTGACAGTTTTGTTGTCGACTAGCTATTAGAAAGACTAGCTGTTAGCAGCTAACGTTACCTTATTAGACTATGTCAATAGCTTAAATCAAGTTAAATATGATCCATTCATCGTCTAGTTTGTCATACTGTGAGTGTTAATGAAAAAAAAGGCTAGCTACGTGCTTACTTGGTGATTCCACGAGATAGTTGTAACGTTAGATGTCTGAATAGTCCATATTTGGCCGCGGTGTGGGGTCATTAATCCAGTTTTCGACCATTTCAAAGGGAAACCTCTGTAACCCCGTATTCAGTAACGTTTAGCTTCTTTAAGTTTGTGCCATTTTTGCTATCAAGAAACTTTGCAGATCTAGTGCGAGTTCTGTTCTCATGGGAATCCGTTTGTTTTCCCATAGACAGTATAGAGGTGTTTTCCCCCAAAAGGGGGCGTTACCCTTCGATGACGCAAAAGTGGCGTTGGTCTATAGAAATCCATTTCAGAAATGTACATAGAAAAATACAGTTAGTTAATCATGTATTAATTTAGGGCATAACATATAACATACAATACATGGCATATTGACAATAACAGTGTTGTTCACCTATTCGTCTTTGCAGGTATTGCTGTACCATGAACAAAGTGACCTCACCTTCATGCTGCTCATCAAGTCACAGAACCTGGATGAACCCATCAACGAGCTGATGCGGTACTCACTCTTCCCAGTTCCTCCCAGTATACATAGTTCCCACATGACGTCACAACATACGGGCATTTGCCGACCCGGCGCCATTGCTTAGGGCAAAACATTAGAAGAAGCAATACGAGTTGAACGAAGTGAAATAAGTTTCGTGCTATAAAGTGAAAATGGTCATCTCCTGCTGGGTCAATGGATGATAAAATCGTGCCGGATGTTCAGTTAAATCGGGATTTTACACTATACCCGTCATTAGATTTCATGGATGTGAGAAGACTAAGCTTTTGTCCGAACAACGACGGAGATTATGGCTGGCGAGCATAAACAGGAAAGAAACTCACTCAAAACACGCACGAATTTGTTTGACAAAAGCACAATGTTGTGTTTTATTGCGAGTGTAAACGAATATAAGTTAACACATTGCAGTTTGTATAATGTCCTGTATGAACAAAATGACGAGCTATTAAAAACATACAAAACAACATTGTTTCCACTGTTTGATCTCACTTTCCAGCATTGCAATCTCAGATTACGTCCCTAAAGATCCCGCGTATAATGTAGTTCCGGATTACATTACTTAATTTGCACGCAAGTTATTTATTTTTATATTCATGCACCGAACCATGACGCCCGCAAGAACATGCATATTACAGAAAGCACCGGTGTTTTTAGGGGAACATAGGAATTAAGTTGTGCAGGCTATGGCTTTTTAATAGACAGATTAGCATCATGCTACTTCGCTATGATGACTAAGTTACTTTTCAATTGATTGCACTTGAGCAAACGTCACCAAACCAACCCCACGTCAATCTGATCGTAGCCTACACCTCCAGTGATTTCCAGCCTCGGAATTGCTCACATGTGTAAAAACTCCTCACCAATACCGGATAATGGTACACATGAAAATACTGTATCTGAGGCAAAGTTGCATAATCAGTGCTCAGTGCTTCCTTCGTTACTGCATACGGATCCACAGCTTTTATGAATGAAATGTTTGCATTGTACCTCTCTCTGTCTTGTTTTAATAGTCTCTTTATAATCTATTTCACTTTGTCTTTTCATGATTTGCATAACAATATAAACATAAATAAATATTTGTTTGTAAAACGACATTCTCTGATAAAACTTTGTAAACGCCTATGGTAAACACAGCGGTTTTGCCCTCAAAGATGGCGTCTCCGGGTAGGTCACGTGACATTAATTCGCCTGTGGGAACTATGTATAGGCACAGCTGATGGGTTCTTCAATAAGACCAACAAGGCTGCAATCCTTCACTACTTAATGGAAGATGTTTCTGAAGATGTCCCTTATCCGAAGGATGTTTTCTACATCCAGGATGGCAATGCACTCTTCCATTCTTCATGCCTTGATGAACCTCCCACCAACATTCGAGGGAATTTGTCTCCAGTCCTTTGTCCATATGATGCTTAAGAAGCATTTTGTCTTCTCAACGGACTCCGACCATGATGATTCTGTCAAAAGTCAGGAGAGATTGTGTCGTGGCTTGTCCCAGCGGTACATCATAGGTGGTCCTGCAACAAGATAGCCAAGTGACTTCAAACTCTTCCTGGCAAATGATGAGAACAAGACAGGCAATGCATATCATAATATGCTATAATATCACATCACTGTGAAGATCTAAACATATTTACTGTAGATATACAGGAAATCGCAATGGAAGACGATTTCGATATTTAGCTCTTCACAGTAAAAGGTAAAACTTCCGAAATCTCTGTGTAAACAATAAGTGATGTACACGCGCAAGAGATTACATCCTGGGCTCACCCTAGGAGTACAAGGACGTGACTGTGATTTGTAAGGGAAATTTTAAACTAAATATTAATCTAACCATGGTTTATTAGTTGACCTCATTTATCTGCTAAATCTCTGAGACAATGCACTAAGACATTTTGTACTTTAGAGGTGTGTGTGTGTGTGTGTGTGTCAAGCACCTGATTGTGTGTATAAATAACAAATGTGAGAAATGGAACCAGACAGATGACGAAGTTCGAGCTTGACATCTATGAAGTAATCATTAAAACAAAGTCTCCTCTACCTGGTAACAGAGGAGGCAGTAAATGAAGAACCAATCATATTATCTTTCATATCATCTTTTCTTTTTTGAATATGTGTATCTGCCTGTGTGTTTTATAATACATAGATGTTTTATTTGTTTTTAGACAGAGATGATTCATACAATAGATGCGTTTTTTTTTTTGTTTTTTTTAGTAAATGCTGTGTCAGGGAAATTGCAAAATAGGACAGACAGGCCAGGTCAAAAGGACAGAAAAGTCTGCCCGGTAACAATAACTAGCTTGAGTGTGAGGAAAAGGAGAACTGGAACCTGTATACGTGCAGGAGCCTTGGCAAGGAAAGGAGGGGTACATCAAGAAGGGGGATTATTTGTGTATATAAAGTCTGGAAATTGAGAAGGATCTTTGCCCTTCTCATATCAGACCCTGTCTGTGTGGGAACTGCCTTTCTTGCAAGAAATAAACATGTATACTTATGACTTTCGAGATCTTCATTGTACTTTAATTATTATTTAAGATCTAGGTACAAAAATTTCCATAACAGATTCCAAGAAGTAAAAACGATATAAAAACTGTTCGTTTTCTCACACAACTCGCTCGTTTCGTGTCTTAGGCCATCAATGTGTACTTACATTTACGAGTCATTAAATCATGTTTAATTTGGACTTCTCTGTGCATGCTCTTTGAGGTGGACCCCATATACTTTCATTATATGACTGACAGACAAGAACGGTTTGACCTAAAAATATCAAAATTGAAGCAACTGTGGAAACAAAGACACCTACATCTTGGATGCCTTTGTAAAACATATAAAAAAAAAATTCAAAGTGAACTATCCCTTTAACTTGATGTGTTGGGATATGAAATAAAAAAGTAATAGTTCAGGATAGACCCTGGTGGAGGCCAGAGGTGGGTATAGTATAGTATCCAAAAACTGTACTCAAGTAAAAGTACAAGTACTTATAGAAATATTTACTCAAAGTAAAAGTAATAATCTTAAAAGTTGCTTGAGTTTAAGGTAACAGGTAAAAACCATTACCTGTCCTTTGGTTTGTATACTTATACAACTACATTTGGATTATGTCAGAATAAAGTGACTCTGTGGAGTTTTGCATTCATAGGCATGTAAAGGGAACCATTGACACAGATACAGGTAGATTAGAAAGAGTCTGTCACATGATTGAGATCAGAGGAGTGAGGTTTACTTGCACAGCAACTACAGGGGTTGGACAATGAAACTGAAACACTGGTCAATGTTGGAGGTTTCACATCTATATGCCTGGCGGCCAATCTTCAGAGTGAAGCACGGGTGGATCAGTGATGGTTTGAGCTCCAATATCCTGACAATCCTGATTGTATTTGATGGACACGACACTGCCGAGGACAACCAAACCCTTCTGGAGGATCATGAGCACCTGATGCTCAAACCGTGTATCAGCATGATCATGCACCAACACACACAGCAAGACTTGTGACAGAAGGGTTTGATGAAGATGAAAGTGACGTTGAACATCTCCCATGGTCTGCACAGTCACCAGATCTGAATATTATTGAGGTGTTTTGGAGGAGAGAGTCCACCAGCATCATATAGTGACCCGGACACTGTTCTGGAAGAAGAACGGCTCATAATCCCTCTGGTCACTGTGAAGGACTTCTATCTGTCATTCCCAAGATGAATTGGTGCTGTATTTGGATGCAAAATGAGGCCCTCACCATTCTAACAAATTATTGTGTTGTAAAACCAGGTGTTTCAGTTTCATTGTCCAACCCCTGTACTAGCTGGCCTCCGTTACACTAGCATCTCCGTTACACTAGCATCTCGTTCTCTTTACTTAAAGTATCCAGGGAAGCTTCCAGAGAAAGGATATGAGTTACATGATCACTGGCCTGCCCCTCCACCGTCTTAACTCTCTCATTTAACACTCGTTGTGTAGTTTGTTTGGCTTGAAGAGTCACTCCTAGTTTATCGAATCGCTCGTCAAAGGCACTGATAGTCTTATCCAAAATCTTCTCCATCGTCAGCGACATATATTTTTTTTCAAGCCCGAGGCCTGCTGTTCAGTGGGTTTAGTGCCCTTGGGCTGTTTTTTGATTGAATCGACAAAGCATACAGTAAAGTTCAAGTGTAGTGCTATGGTTGTCCATACCTGTCAACATTGGGATATTAAAATAATGGAAATTTTCAGGGCCACCTGAACACACATTATATAAATGAAGACACAAAACGGAATAAAAATTCAGCACAAGTTTATTTATTACTTGACAATGGGTAGGACAGTGTGTGAGAGAATGGATGGGGATACTGTTTTGATGGTCGCGTGGTTCTCTTGCATCTCTTGCTGTGTGGAATGCATAATAAAGCCCTCATAAGTCTTGTCAGCTCACTGAAACCCATGTCCTTGCCTAGAAGGCCCCAGAATCGGTCAATTCTGTCTTTTTAGGGGAGATGCTTACTATCTGTCACCTGGTAGTCAATGAGTTCCTCTCTCAGCCTATGCACATTCAAGTTCAACTGAGGGAACAGGGCTACTAGCCTTGTCCCTGTAAAAAGAACAATAATGTTGCTAAATGAACATTGATGATTTATGCAAACCATGCAATACCTCACAACAAGTTCATTGTAAAAAGTCCCTAATCTCTACCTGTCCCTGGAGTGACGCGAGGCCGAGATGCAGGGTCCAGCCCTCTCAGGTCCTTCAGGAGTTGGGAGTCAAGTGGGAAGCAGTTGAACATCTTTCTCAGAACTGCTTCATAGAAGGTTCTCACTGTTCTACAAGGCAATAGTAAAAACAACAACAATATGCATTAGATAGTGGGAAACATTTCAGGCACACTGTAAGGGTTATCCCAGCCTGTTAAAAGATTAGATCATAATTAAATTAAACTACAGAGTAATATACTCACTGAAAGATGTTTTACTTGGATGGAACGGGGAGCTCTGCATTTTTGATGAATGCTCTTGCTCTTGGTTTAATTATTGGAAATAGAGTTAGATAGAGTTGTTACTTTTTGTCAAAGGTGGTGTATATCCCAACCAAAATGCAAGTTTGGTTGGGATATTACTACTGAAGGTTTGGTTGCTTTTGATGCCACAATCAGTGGCAATCTGGGCAAGGTGGCAAATGCAGCCAATGTCCTGGACATTAAGACTGACTTCCTTTTAGTCTGCTAATCACTGAATTGTTTCTGCCTTTCATAACACTTGCATTGTCAGAGTTGAAGGCAATGACACTCTCCCATGGAATGCCTCTTTTGCTATTGGAAACAGGAAATCAAAACAATATGCCCATAATTGCAAAATAAACTATTTGACAAAAGATTTTATGTAAACTGTGCTCAAATGAAAGTGAAATAAAAAATGTTCAAGTTGTTATTATTAAATGCAAACTAGGTAAACACATTGCAGTACCCTCACCTCAATGCTTTGGGCAGCTTTTCAAATAGGTTTTCTGCATTACCCACATTGCATATGTGCATTTCAAAGAACTTTGTTGTCACCTCCAGATTGTTGACTCATCCTAAATTCTTGCAAGGATGACACATTCTTTTCCGGTTTTTCTGTTGTTTTATTCATCGCACAACAGTATAAAAGGCTGAGAAGGCTCTCAAAGAGAAGCTGGGGATATAACATTTATTTGCACAGGAACATTGCTCGTCTCTTTCTGAGTGGCAAATCTTTCAATGACCCTTGTGCTGAAATCTGGAATGTCCCATGTGAGTTTTTTTCTCTATAGAAAGCCTAGCCAGAGTGTTGAGGCGATCTTGTGCCTTAGTGTTCCTAATCCTAATGAAAGTTATACCAGCTCCTGTAAATTTTTAATTGGACTGACAGTAGAGATTATGGATCTTCTATATGAATGTTTTGAAGTGGTTGACTGCCTGAAACTCATCCACAGCATCAAATACAGCCAGTTCCAAACTGTGGTCAATGCAGTGCCATGAGAAGAGGTTAAGGTATCTTGCAGTCAGCCTGGCTGCCACACCAAATTTCTTACCTAACATGACACTTGCTCCATCTAAAACAAATGAGACTCAGTTCTTTTGAAGCCACTCTTCACTGAAGCCTGCAGTTTCCAAACAGTTAAGTAGAGCTTCTTCTATATCCTCTACCCTTTGGCTCTCCAGCTCAACCAGCTATAGAAACACAAATTCAGGATTAGCTCCATCTACTACTGAGGCTTTCAAGCTGACAATCATGGCAGATTTGTGGCTGAGAGATGTAGCCTCTTCACTGAGAACAGACAACTTGCTTGAAGATGACAATACTGTGAACTATTATGTGTTTCACTATTTTTGTATAACTTTATTTTGAGAGCAGACTAGCCCATGTTGACACCATTTGCTTCCTGAAGCTCAATGAGATTGTCATGGTCAGTGCAAGGTGGGTTCATTTTTTTTTCGCAATATAGTATGCTGTTCTGAATACAGTTTCTGAAACAGAGACCAAATTTCCAAATAATTTTGGAAAATTTCACCAAATTTATTTTCTAAATTTACTACATTTTTTATTTTATAAATTTACTTTCTAAATGTTTTCTTTCTAAATCCTGTCCACCTTTTTCAGTGAGCTCCGGGGCTATTTAGCCCTGATTGTCTCATGTGGTCATATCTTGTTCCTTAAAAGAGGCCAAGTTTGCATTTGAGGACTGGATCTTAAAGTACAGTTTAAGATCCACTCCTCAGATATGGACACTCATTTTTTCGGTGAGGATGCCAGTTGATTTTGTTGTGCTGCAAACCGCACAACCTGGAAGCAAACAAAACCATGAATAATTAGCATCATCATACAAGTTTTATATCTACAGTACATTGATAATAAAATCTACTGAACAGGGCCAAAATTTAATCAAAGTATTTAATAAACTCTTTACAATCTCCACACTATGCCTGACAAATACATGAAAAGCAGGCAAAATGAGAAAAATGTTCTACTCTTTCAATAGATAATTATCTGACAACTATTGATAACTAACAGTATAGAGCAATTTAATGGTGTAAATGTCTTAAATTATTGCACAGTTAAAAAATTAGTTCACTTCAGAATTAAAATGTCCTGATAATTTACCCACTCTTTCTTTCTTCAGTCAAAAAGAAATTAAGTTTTTGATGAAGACATTTCAGGATTTTTCTCCATATAGTGGACTTCAATGGGGTCCAACGGTTTGAAGGTCCAAATTGCAGTTTCAATGCAGCTTAAAAGGAGCCTACAGTACATGATCCCAGCCGAGGAGGAATAAGGGTATTATTTAGTGAAAAGATCTGTAATTTTCACACAAAAAAATAAAATAAAATAAAATCAATAATATATATATAGTACTGTGCAGAAGTCTTAGGCACACTAGTATTTTCGCCTCAAAGAAATGGTTTTAAGCCAGTTATTTATATATTTTGTTGTAGTGTCTCAGTAGGAAATATCAGTTTACATTTCCAGACATTAATTGTGCCATTAATTGTAATAATCCAGTGAAATTTTTGAATGCAGAAGGATTCTGACAACAGCCAATGCTCCACACGGAGGTCGGATCTCACCATCATCGAGTGCATCTGAAATTATATGAAGAAACAGAAAAAACAGAGACTAAGACCAGAAGAACTGCGGCAACGTTTCCAAACGCTTGAAAAACCCTGCAAGACTAAAAACTGTGCAATAGACTTTATTCAGAGCAGCGCCATGACAGGTATGAAAGTGAGGCTGTGAGGGATAGACTTACCGTGTTTCCAATTGCATCCGCTGTAAAAGCTGAATAAAGCGGCTAGATTACTTACAATTTTCCACAGCTTACATTGTCGGGAGTTTTTTTGTCAACTGACATTTCTTGGAAAGATATTTTTCCAGTGTTTCATGAGCAGAACAATCCGAAAACATATTAAATAACAGTACAGGCCATTGAAGAGATGCAAGTCTATCCCTCACAGCCTCGCTTTCATTCTCATTAAAAATCAAAGATGGCGCTGCCGTGAATAAGGCGTATATCTGGACAAAAGCGGTTTTAAACGTTTTAAAAGGGTACTAAACACCTATTGATTTGATTTAGTTAACTGTTAAAAGTTAATAAAAGTTAATAATAGTTAACTAATAAAAGTGAATTGATAAATAAAATCTGTTTATGATTATGACATTATTTTTGAAAACATTCTCATTTACAACATTTTTACACAAGTGATTTTTCATAGTACTGCAGCTTTGCAGGCAGGCAGGCACTACCTTCGAGACGTTGCCGCAGTTCTTCTGGTCTTAGTCTCTGTTTTTTCTGTTTCTTCATATAATTTCAGATGCACTCGATGATGGTGAGATCCGACCTTCGTGTGGAGCATTGGCTGTTGTCAGAATCCTTGTGCATTCAAAAATTTTACTGGATTATTACAATTGATGGGACAATTAATGTCTGGAAATGTAAACTGATATTTCCTACTGAGACACAAAATATTTAAAGAACTGGCTTAAAACCATTTCTTTGAGGCGAAAATACTAGTGTGCCTAAGACTTCTGCACAGCACAGTACTATATACATGTATATATATATATATATATATATATATATATACCCAGCAAACAGGGGACGTCCTCCGGACGTTGCGAACGTCTAATTAGGTGCGCATTTAGTCAGGTTTATAACGTTCGCTGTGGGACGTTCGGAGGACGTCCGCATTTGGTCCGGTTTATAACGTTCGCTGTCGACATTCCGAGGACGTCCGCATTTGGTCCGGTTCATAACGTTCGCTGGGGGACATTCCGAGGACGTCCGCATTTGGTCCAGTTCATAACGTTCGCTGGGGGACGTTCGGTGTCACAGTGTCTAGATGTGTTCCCTTGTTTGTCCACTAGATGTCCTCCTTCCCCACTGTGTCATTCACTATCTGGAACTGCATTTCCCATCATCCTGTTCTGTCACTTTCTGATCATTGCACTCAGCTGTTCCCCGTAATCATTGTTCCCAGCTGTTCTGTGTTAGTCTTGTTAGACATGTGTATATATTCCCTGTCTGTGTTAGTATGTGTACGGAGTCGTCGTGTTTTGTGTCACACCACTTCATGTCTATGTTAATTGCTAGTTCCTGCTTGGTTTTTTCTTGTTTTGGACTGCTTTGATTATTGACCCTTGCCTGGCTGACTCGGATTTGGATTATACTTAATAAATACTGCTTTTGGATTTACCCCAGTTTCCTGTGTGTGGATCGTGACATTCGGAGGACGTCCGCATTTGGTCCGGTTCATAACGTTCGCTGGGGGACATTTTGAGGACGTGCACTTTACATTGACATTATGGTGCAAAACCATAAAAACATAAGTGTTGGTGGTATAAAAATACTGCCTATGAGCATTTTTAGCACATGTTCAAATGAGATATGCTTGAGTGTTTGCAAAAACAATAATAAAAAAATCTGAATTAAAAGTGTCATTGTCCCGGAGTGATAATTTGCACCTAGGAACGGGTCATAGCTTCAAAATAAGTTTTAGATTCATTCTTTAATGATATTTTTATTTAGGTTCTAATTCTAGTTTATGTTTGTAAATGTATGACTTGATGCGTTTTAACGGGCATGCGCGTGAAGTTGAGTTGCCATGGAAACGGAGGTCACCAGTGCAGACAGCAAAACTCCGACTCCCTGTTTTCACTGCTTTCAGGTGAGTTTAGTCTCTAAAATCACACAAATAATACACACGACTGTTCTTGACACTTCTCTTAATTGTAACTGGCACGCTTCTGTTTAATATTTAACGTTAGGCTACTTTATAGAAATGGGTTAGTGTCTTCGAAAAAATCTATTAGCATCACTAACCGTTTAGCTACAGAAGAGTTAACGTAAGGCTACGTTATAGCTTGAGCTTTTGTTTATGAATGTTTGGGCTTTTAATCACATTTTATGTGTCGATTAGAGGTTTTGATATTTTTGTAGCCTAAATATTTTGCTTGGAAGTGAGCTAAAAACGTATAATTTAACATAAAACGTTACGTTTTAT